CATTCTGCTTTTATCCTCAGCAAACCCTTGAAATGAAGAAGAATATAATGCTGCAGAATTGCAATACCACTCTTTAGTTCCTCAAGACCTCTGTTTTTGAGCAGGTAAATGTCAAGGAAGGAAATAGCCAAATTTTGGACATGTTAAAACAAATCTACTTGAACATCCAAAATGCAGTGAAAATCGGTGATTCAGTATTCAAGTACAAGGCAGCAGAAACTCTCAGAGGCAGATTATCAGTGACTGTAACATGGAAAAAAAGAGACCTAAAGGAGAGATTTTTAAGGAGCTAAGATAAAGGCAATGCTAGACTTACCTACTGAATATCAAACCTAGGGTGAAATGAAAATTTAAAAGTATGAATTTCCATTCTCCCATCTTAAAACAAAAAACCCAAACAGTCCCCAGTTTGTAGCAGAGAAGCCAAGTCAAGTTATGAGCTCCTCCATCTCATCTCCTTTCCCACATCTGTTCTCTATTGGCAGCTGTCCTGGGTTACCACTGAGATACTAGGTGAATGATGGATGGTCCTGCTGCAATGTACTATCTTTTATAGGGATCACAGCTCCACATAACATTAATTAAGCCAACACACGTGCATCCCATTTGCTTAAAGTTATTACAACTCTCAGCATATTTTTCTATCTGTATTTATCTGCTTCAGCAAACAGCAAACAATTTTGTTTTGAAGTCCAGAGTATGTTGGAGAGTGAGCCGTTTCACTATTTCTGAGACTTGTACTGCATATTTCGATCCTTAGTGGCTTTCCTGCCCATCTTATTCACATTCTTAAAATATTCCAGTTAAATTCTTTAAATATTTTTAATGCCTAAATATACACGCAGTGCCTCCCCCAATTAGATTGGAAGTCTAATTGTTGTACAGTGTGGTGTGTACATGCATTCAAATTGGAATTTACGTTGACTGGCTAGTATAATCAGATTTTGCCGTTGCATTTAATTTTAGAATAAACCACATTTATTTCCCTTACACTAGATTCAGGAAATAAATTATCATTGAAGCAATCAGATTTTTCCAGGCTTCTCTAACATTCAGTCAAAGTTCATTTGGTATTTCGGTTTCTTCTACCAAGCGCAGCAGTTATTTAGCCCCAATACATCAGAGTTTCAGGTTTTCAGGTTTGATTGGTGTTTCTGAGAGGCTGTTGGGGAGCAGAAAGAGTCCTTAAGCACAAATGACCTGCTAGATGCTGGTAACATTTAAGCCAGGGGGTCTCTTAGGAGAACTCAGGACCAGTCTAATCATGAGGCTTTATTAGAATTACCTGCTGTTATTAGTATCAATACAAACTTAATTTTCGTAGCACAAACAAGGTTCAAAGGAGAGCCTGCCAGCACTGCCTTATTTGAAGCAGCAGGTCTGGTGGGTATAGCCAAATTCTCTGTTAATTTAAGTAAGCATAATGCATTGAAGTCACTGTAGTGAATACCACGTACATCTTTGGCTGTGGTACATGATGTATCCAATCACACTGTACTTGCCTTCAGTGTAACTTCTTGATTATACGGGATGGACCCACAGCTTGCCCAGTGCAGATGGAAGAGGGTATAAATCAAAAGGCATATAAATAGATGCAGGGACAGGAAAAGAGTTCAGCAACGCACATGCCTTAACAAGTGGTAACGTTGCTCAGTCCCAGATGACTGCTGATGAATACTTGGGAAGAAAGGTGCAGTACTAAGACGTGGCTAAATGCACAAGGATTTGTACCTAATAGGATTTGGACAGAGAAGCTAAATATGCAAGTTTCAAAGTAAACCATGCAAATGTAACTCGGCTTTGAGAGCAGAAAATGATTAGTATTTGCTATGAATAAAAGGTCTGTCTGTAATTTGAAATGGATTAACTAAGAGGTACTTTAAGGTCAGTAGACTAACAGTAATTTCTGGTGACAATGAAATGTTTTCCCCATTCCAATATTTAATGCAGACAGTACTCTAGTTATTGTAACCCAGATGTGAGATTTTTAGAAAACGTGGAGTGTAGTGAAAGCAACTCTTTGATAGTAGGAATAAATTACGACTTTAAACTAATTTTTTCTTTTTTAAGAAGACCTTTTCAGTAATACCCTGCATATGATTTAGTAGACCTGAATTTGAGAGCAACTGATGGATCTGCCTGCATGTTCTTGCATGCAGATTTTGTACTCCAGGGACCAGTGTAATTTGCAGTTGGGAAGCTTCTTTTAGGATTTTGATCTCCACCCTAGAAAACAGAGTGGTAACCCTGAGCAGGGTCGAACTACATTCAGTAGTAGCAGTAAAACGTAAAATACATGCTTAAAAAAAAGGAACTGAATGCTAAGTAGTTTCAAATTGCTCTTGTGATTTTTTTTAAGTTATTTCTGCCTTCTATGATGAATGTCCACAGATGTGGAAAAGACATGGTTAATAGTTGAGTGGGTTTTTTTGAAATAGGAGCCTGACACTAGCAGGGAAACAACGGATCTTCAAAAAGGCCTGTCAAATGGTGTAGTTTCACAGGAGTTTCAGTTACGGTGGTTGTGAAATTGGTAGCCTGTGTTTACAGCTAAGCGTTCTCTAGCTTACTGACAAAACTGTATACGAGTATACAGACTGGCAGTAGAGTGTACAATCAAAATGGCACATGAGAATACTGATTACAAATAGGGATATTATGTAAATAGACACTGAAGAGTATTGGCCAATTTGTCTCCTTGCTAGTGCAGAATCTACTCCAGCGCTCGTTCCCATATGTCTTTTCTCCATTTCACGATGAGGGCAATGGCTGCCTTCCCATAGCTGCTGACTTCCAAATGAAAAGATGGGTCTAGCAGAAACCGTTCTGAGGAAGTTCTCACATGTTTTCTGAAATTCTAGTGATGCCACCTTTAAAACTTAACAACTAATCAATGAAAGGCTTTTTTGAGGGTGCAACTATAGGTTAATAATCTGGTAATGTGACAGTTGCCAAGGAAACAAAAATTTAATTTTCTGGCTCGTTTCAAACATGGAGTTGAATTACATTTCTGTCTCTACATTTAATGAACAAATCGTTCCCGTATTTGTGAGATTTAATTAAGACAGGGAGCGTGCATGGGGAAGAGGGAAGCTGCTGCAGCAGCCATAATAAACTGGTGTTTATTGTGGAAGAGAAGGCCGAAACCCAGCATTCTTTGCTGTCTCTGCAGTGTCTGGGCTTAGTTATATATGTGGGTTTTTTTGTTTTTTTTTAAAAGCCTAAGGCAGGAATGGTAGGGCATTGGTTCACTGCCATAGACTAAAGGAAGCCTTGCAGAGAGAAGCTGGGGCATGTTCCCTCCTACTCTTAGCTAAAAAATATGGCAAAATCCACTTTCTCTCAAAATCCACTCTTGCTAGAGAGACTCTGTTTTACAGTAGGGACAACGCTCCTGGGTACCTCTGTTGCCAGCATATTGTATGCCCTGGCAGTAGGACTGGTGGTGTTAAATGCGTTGATTCTAAATGACCTAATAATCTTTTCACACTGCCTCCCCTACCCCCCACCCCCCAAAAAAGGCATTAATGTTCCCCTGATAATGTTCTCGATCTTAAATTTCTGTTCCTTCCCAGTCTTTGCTGGGCTCACTTACAAGAAAGCGGAGTCTGGACAAGAGGTCTCTTCTGATCCTTTCTCTGTCTGCCCTGATCATTAGCAAACAGGACAGTAGGGCTTCTAAGATGCAGAAAGAAAATTATAAGGAAGGACTTAAATAGCACGTCTACATATGTGCTAAAAGAGAGTATTTAAGTGTGTTAAATAGCCTAAATATGGCCTAGCTTTGTATAACCTGGATGGCTCACATCTGCTTACTGTCTTTGGGCAAACAAATGCTAACCTTTGATGTGCAAGTATGTTGGAACCATAAGTTTTTCTTTTTTTCCTTTAAGTGAAAACTTTTTAAAGGGTAATCCTCTGTATATTCTCATACAGAAGTAAGTTTTGGTCAGTGTCAATACACAGGGGTTTTTATATTTATATTCACATATAATTACCCTCATACACAGATTTTGCTCTAATAGCCACGCTAACTAACTCGGAATAGTTGTAAACATTCAGAAAGTTTGCTTCAACAAAATATGAAGAGTTTCTGAATATAACTGTTGAAATTAACAAAATACAATTTAATATTGCAGATAACAGAATTTTTCTTTCTCAGGAAGACTATGATCGTCTGAGACCTTTATCTTATCCTATGACCGATGTCTTCCTTATCTGCTTCTCAGTGGTAAATCCTGCTTCATTTCAAAATGTGAAGGAAGAGTGGGTACCGGAATTGAAGGAATACGCACCTAATGTTCCCTTTTTACTAGTAGGAACACAGGTATATCTGGTTCTGTTCTACTTTATGCAAGCAATTCAGATCATTGTATGCTGTCTTTTCTTTGGGCTGGCAGTTCAGGCCTGACAGGACCTGAGCAGCATCTCCTTCTGGCTTTGGAGGAATGACCGTAGCAAGCGGCAGAAGAACCTAGATCCGTGTTGATCTGTAATGAGCTACCTCCATTTTGTTAAAATACATGGATTGTAAACTGGGTGGCAAGATTAGCTGCATCTCTCTATGTGACTTTCTATAAAGTCATAGGACTTAAGGAATAAAATTGTCTATTCATAGCCATGTTACTGGAATTACTTGGGTCTGCAACTATTGATCACATCCAATATTTGCTGAAGCAAAGGAGCAAGGGGAGAAGTGAGACAATTCCCTCTTGCTTCTTGTGGGCAGTGGTCTGGACTTCAATTACAAAGTGACCCACATGTTAGTATTAAGTTTGTGTTAATCTTTCTGCCACTGCTGGATATACTTTCTGGTATTCCGAGATGATCACATCTCATTGAAGAGCTGAATTACAGGATAAACATTTGTTCCTTCTGGATTAAAGGTAATAGTTCACAGCTTAAATTTCCAGGGCTTTTGGATCAGAAAGGGTCCACAATCTGAATCATGACATGACTCCATTTTTATACATGTAATACTCCATTAAATAAATAATTCTGCTTTAAAAAGAGGGTATCGTATAGCCTGCTGACTTTTGTTTAGAAAATGTATTCCAACATGATGGCAATCTCTCTTACTAGATTGATCTTCGTGATGACCCAAAAACTCTGGCAAGACTGAATGATATGAAAGAGAAGCCCGTATCTGTGGAGCAAGGACAGAAGTTAGCAAAAGAGGTAAACTGGATACTCCTAAATGAAACCAAGTAGCAAAGAAGCAAAAAACCCTACTTCCAGTTGACTTTTTTTCCCCCTTAACCACTTAGCCCAATTCTTTTACCGGTCAACATATGAAACCTTATGACTGGTTACCAGTTAACAATATTTACTTACATTGTTGAATACAGCTAACAAGCAGACCTGTGTAATAGCACTTCCCTGTTAGTAATAGCTCTAATTTTCTGTGTAGACACTCATAAAAACTACATAAGCATTAGTCAGAGAATTAAAATCACAGAGTGGTTGAGGTAGGAGGGTTGAGCTTTCCTGCTCAAGCAAAATGTTAGAAGCATCTTTAAGAAATTATTTGAGAATGCTATAATAACCATTTTGACACACTGCATGAATAATGCGTATCAGGACACTTATTTATAGAGTCTTATTTTTGAAACATAAATTAGTCATGTAATTTGTTTTTGCTGTTCAGTTATCAAAAATACCTTATGACCCCACTGCCAACCCAAAGAGCTTATTTAGTATGCTTCCATTATAAACCAAAACAACTTAAATACATTCCAGATCTTTGGCCAAAAGACAAATCTCCTGTTCTCCTACAGGGGTAAGCACATTGAGATAACTTTTCTAGATCACAACCAAACATTGTGGTGTCACTATAGAAAAAAAAAATGTGGAAGTGCGCAGATAGAACTGAACAGCTGAAATATAGTGCTATTGAATTTACTTATTTTCTTGACAGATAGGAGCCTGCTGCTATGTGGAGTGTTCAGCTTTGACACAGAAAGGATTGAAGACTGTTTTTGATGAAGCTATTATAGCCATTCTAACTCCAAAGAAACACACAGTGAAGAAGAGAATAGGCTCAAGATGCATAAACTGCTGTTTGATCACGTGAGATACATTTGACAATGGCCAGGCTTACTGTGAAATTCTACTGAATTTAAATACAATGCATTAAGTACACAGCAAACTTGTTACAGGTTTGAAAGCTAAAACTATGATTCTGCCTTCTACAACCAGTGAAATCCAGAGGAATAAAATCAAAGTCAACGAACTTGTAAGAAGAAGCCACCACATCTGTTACAAATATTTTATTCAGACTGGAAGGTACAATCTCTCAGGGTTACATAGTCTAGAGGAAGCAAAAACTGCACCGTGTTGAAACGGCATCTGTGCGATTTTATTGAGTGGAGATGCTTGGCCTGAAATACTCTAAATGAATTTGGATAGTCTTCTGCTTTGACTATACATATATATATATATATCTCTCTCTTATAAAAACAACAACTTTTGCACAGTCTGTATGGAATCTGCACAAAGAAATACCTTGTCTCTCTTTGCTCCAGTTATCTGCTTTTGTATGTAAGCTGCTTCCGGTTCCAGTGTATCCACAGAGGTGCAATAATCAGACCAGCCATATAGCCAAAGGTAGCTCCGAGGGAACAGGAGATGGGCCATACCTGTGGGCAGAACACAAGGTAAAAGCAGACAATGAGGAAAATGTTTGTAGTTTTTTGTACTTCGTGAGCACAAATTCTCAGTGTAATTTAGGTACTGGAAGACAGTACAGTCTTACTCTACTTTCAAGCTTGATGCGCTTTCCTAAAAATGCCAAAAGTGTAACAATCATCTTCATGAACACTAAATGCTGTTGTACAGTTTTTCATTAATATGCATTAAAATGTAACCAGGCTTCTGGCTATCGCAGACTTTAGTTTCATATTCCCAAAATTATGTGAAAAACTTATGAGTATTTATATCCCCTGAAGCGTTCAGCTCACCTAACTTCCTGTTCCACTGCACACGTTTGGAAACCTACAGATTTCTTGGCAATTTCTCCTTCTAATTTCTCATGCCATTCTGCAATTTTTAGAGGTGTGTTTATAAGTGAACTAATATTCAAATAAGGCCAGAGACTGAGATGGATAGAGGGTTTTTCTTTCTTTTGGTCTTGAAAAGTAGTCAAAGGGATGAATTTCCCTCTGGCTAGCAGTAGGGAGGGAACATAAAATTTGGAAACTGACTGAACATGTTGCACCCAGTTCAGCAAACATGTAGTAAGCCAGCTGTGTTAAAGAGAGCCTTAATTATGAGCTCTATTTCCTAATACAGGAACAGGGAACTGACTCAATACAGTTGACTCACTTTCACAAACCATCTAGCACTTAAGGCAAAGAAGTAATGGGATTCTCCCCCGCCCCCCCTTTTTTTTTTGTTTTAAATTGCTATTGATTTGCAGGGAGGAGGGGCCAAAACAAAACTTAACCAGTCTGTCCTTAGATGTAGCTTGTACTACCAGTCAACTACATACTGCATTTGATGAAAGTCTCAACTAAGTTGCTGATTAAAAATTATTATTTATTGTGGAATAAACTGAATTCCCATCCCTCTCCAAAATTCTCCTTTACATATTTTTTTTGCAAGGACAGTTTTGCACTTCCTGCTGTACAGTGCATGTTCCTAAAGCAAGTACAGACTGCGCTCTCCTATTTTTTTAATTTTTAAATTACGGGGGATATTTCCACCTTCTATAGTACTTGAGACTGAGAAATGCACTAGACATTAAAAAACTATACACATCTCAGTGACCAGCCTTCTGTTCTACTTCATTTTGACTTGCAATTCATGAATATCAAATTAACTTACTCTTAATGGTACTGGTTCCTCCTTTCATTCCTTTCCCTAGCTCTGGTTCTTCTCTTTACTTCATTATCACTTGGAGAAATGTATTTATTCACATCCTTTGATCATGGGAATTTTAATTAGGAATGAAAGTAATGTATTTTGTCCTCTGCTGTTTCATCTTCACATTCTCCTCAGCTGTTCCATCTTCACATTCCTTAGCATTTGCCATTTTATATATTATTTGGAGGTCTTAAGGAGTGTAGCAAAGATGACTATAAACAAGGTGCCTTAGGTACTCTTTATTGACCTTGTTTCATTCTTCTGTTTCCAGACATTCTGTATTTGCTACTTGTTTTTTGTTGCTGAATATTTTGGCTGTTGCCTCTCAAACCAAAGAGTTGCTTGTTTTCATTCATTCAACAGTGGTATTGTAGATCTTCTATAAAAAGCCTTGAGATGCTTTGGCATGGTAAGATATTATGTATATTTAAAACTCACATGAGTTTGTGGCCTTGGCTAAACTTACGCTTCAGGTGGATCTTTTCAACTTTTAAATGAAATATAATCAAGTTATTTCTAGCATTTTGCAAGCTATTACACATGTCTAAAGGACAAAACAATAAAAAAGTCCCTGCGACCCAGCTGCTCACGCAGTAATGTTCAGTTGGAACAGGAGTCGTACTTTCTTACCCACTGATGAAGTCAAATACCACTCTAGTATCCAGAAAACTATGGAAGGAGGCTTCATAACTCAGTGGTCTTTTTGCATCCTTCATTAAATTTTACCTACATTAGGTGAATCTGTAGTTGCCTGTTTGCTTTTCAGAAGTATAGGTAAATGCTGGACCCCCAAACTTTTCCACTTTCCCTTAACTAGAGAGTCAATATCCCTGATGACCCATTGACCCTGTATCTTTTTGGTATTTTGTGTACACTGGGCAATTGTTGGTATGATTAAAAGGATCTCTGATGATTGTTGTAGCTTCTTTTACCTGACTGAACTGCAACTTGGAACATGTTTTTTTAACAGTTATGTAACTTTGAATATTAATTATGCCTCTGTCTGCCTTCCAAAACATTCAATTTCTGCTTCGCTTTTTTAAAATCAGTGTTACCTCACAGAAGTTTGAGGCTGGCTCACCTACCACATGAGTCTGACCTCTGAATCTAACCCTCACCAGTGGCAGCTGGCTAAGATAGGGAGCAAAGGGAAGAAACCATATAACACTCCATGACAAACAACACTATGAGTGAGATGCAAAAGAAGCACCACCTCATCCCTTCTAGTGACATAGAACAGAAGGGTACTACTAGGCCAGGTACTCATTATGCTGGTCAGATGGCCCAAAGTATTCTGAAGGCAGTTTGAGTGGGCTTTTGAAAAATCCCTATACACAGAAGTTAAAAGCCTGGACTTAAGAGCATTGCTGTCCTTACGCTATTTTCTCTAACCCTCAAGGCAGGGCAAAATAACCCTAACAAACAGGTAATCGTACCAGTTTTATTCTTCACTGCTGGCGTGTAGGTTACGTGCAGCCAGATGCAACTGTGTATGTATCTAAAGCAGCAAGTTATCAAAGAGAGATAAAGACATAGCTCTTAAGCACATCAGCTGCACTAAAATAACAGCCCTTGCATATGCTTTCTGTCCATCTATAAAAGTGGGTGCTTTATTTTGCATTAGCTGCTGGCCTCATTTTTCTGAGACCCAATCTTTCTTCTGGACCTTTTTAAATGAATTTAACTTGCTTGACTGGTCTGCTTTTGCCCTGCCTTTCATATTATCTCTTAAACATGGTTTAGCTTCCCTAACTTGGTACAAACTGCCTCTAAGTGATAAAAATCTAAGCAGCTAATATCCGTCTGCCTGTTCAAAGAGATTCCATTCTACTTGTTTCAAGTATGCAACTTTTAATCACCCCTCTCATCCCCTGAGAACTATTCAGCTCAGTTTCTTCTACTTCTCCCTTCTGCTGTGAGGAAGCGGACGTATCCTACTCCAGTACTTATGTCATGTCTAGGCTGGGTTAGCGGCAGGGGAATAAGGGGCTGGATAACATCGCCTAACTGTGCTTTTTTTGAGGGGGAAGAAGGTTGATCTGGAGAGAAGAATGCGGGGAGTCCAATAGACAGGGCAGAACATTCTTCAGGAAACTGTCATGAAATGCCTTGTCTGTCCCAGCAGCTGGGAAGCATCAGCTACCATCCTCACAGCCTAATACAAGAAGAGGCGGTTTACATATGAAACGCATGTGGAAAAGGGCAATTTTAACAATCCGTATATGATTCCTAGGAAACTGACCAGCAGCTTGGCAAAAACAAATCTCCCACTACATGCTTAATGAGCACAAAAATTGCATTTTAAGGGGCAGAGCATGAGCCAGTGGTTAACGCAAAACGATCCTGACTTCTGCTATTTGTTTAAATTTTCTTTTTGCCTTTTCTTTTCATCTGGCAGTAGTGACAGGACTTAAGAGATATTTCTTTAGGCTAGCTAAGTAGACACTGCAGAACTGCAAGGCTTCTAGTATATATTAGAACTGATTTTAAGAATAAGGACTCAAAATAGGAATCGCCAGCCTTTCAGGACACAAATGACTTTGTTTCCTCAGCGCTTTTTAGAACATCTGTGAACTGATGTGAGAATGCTTAGCATATTGCATGGAAAGCAGAGCATGTTGCAGGATCCCAGCAAGGTATCTAGCTCTGCTGTACTATGCATGTAGCTAGCTAAACCAGAATTCTGACTGCATGACAGTTTTGTCATCTATTACAAGTCTGTAACTTGCATCCCATGCAATGGGAATTACGCTGACATCAATAAGGACATAAAGGCCAGATTCTTACAGGCCAGAGCAGCCACACCCTAGTAAAGTTTTTAGAGATACTATAAAGTAAGCAGCTGACTGCTGGAACTTTAATTATACAAATGCAAATACAGTGGGGCAATCTACTGTACTTTTTTTTTTTTTTTAGTAAACTGGTCCCATTCTTTAGATGAGTGCTTTTATCATGTTCCTAAACTCAGTTTTTTATGTATGCTTACTATTTCAAAAGATCCATTTCTGCCTGTCAATTAGAAAGCTATGTAATAATTTTTGTTTCATTTTAAAACTGAATAAATGAGCACAATTACTTTCCCTCCCTGTTTCTAACATGCCTTAAATTTCTGGTTGTTTAGTCTGTACTGTCTTAACAATTTGAGCACATGCCTTTAATCTATTTTGGTTGCATGCACATGTTAACTGAAAGTGTCTTACCACATTGTACAGAATGTGTGTGTTGACAAGCACATGCCAAGGAAAAGAAAGTGTGAGGCTTTTTTCCGGCTGGCATTTGTAACTAGAAGTTGGTTTTGTGGATTTGTGTTCTAAAGTTAAAGGCAGTTATGCTTGCTCTAATCTTACCATTAAGGTTTACATTAAGAAAACCTATCATTAAATAAACATTGATAACCACACTGAAGTGGAACAAGCTTCTACCTCTGTTTAAAAAAAACCCTCAAACATGGGATATTATCCCTTTTACTCACATAAAGCTCATTTACAACAAAACTTTCACAATACGTAGTAGATCCAAAAGCAAATGCAAGAAGGAAGCTCTCTGAGCTGTGTTAAGAATAACGAAGTAGTGTGAAAGTTTATAGCCCTATTTCAGCTTACTCAAGTAACCACCAAGAACTGTACCCAAGACTCTCCAGATTATTTTTCAGGTTACAAATGTCTGAGAGGTATCTAGGCTAATATTTACAGTCATATTAGCTAAATTACATGGCAGTCAATCAACTCATTTGAGTTGTATCAGCACTATTTATTATATTTGCAGTATCCACTAT